AATCCAGTTTTTGTGAACTGATTGGTGACCTGTCTGCTGTGAGGAAACCATTATCTGTTTTATTCATTAGTTCTGAAATTCAGTGTTTTTTGGAGGGAGGAATGTGTAAAGCCAATTTTAGTAGGAATGAAAGAATTGAATTATTAGTCTTCAAAATCATATGCCTTTCAAAATAAATGTCTACCCCATTGTTATACCTGTACACATTGATATATTACCATGAATAATTTCAGTTTTATATTGTTCACTCTCATGATTTAATGGAAAAATTTGTTTCTTTTTATTTTCAAGAAAGGGAGCTATTTTGTTGTCTCTCACAGGAAACTATTACTAAGTACTTAAATATAATTCCTGCAGGTTGTATCTTGGGTATATAGTATTTCCTCTCTTCATAAGAGTAACTTCTTGAAGAATGATTTTTATTGGATATTGGATAGTATAAAGGGATTATTGTTGATTTTGTTTGATGTGCTAACAATATTATACTTATGTAGCAAAAATGTCCTTATTTTTTAGAGATATATCCAAAAGTATTTAGGGGTTAAATGTCACGATTAGTATAATTTTCCTTAAAAATCTTTAGCATAAGCCCTGGCTGGTGTAGCTCAGTGGATTGAGCATGGGCTGCGAACCAAAGCATCGCAGGTTCGATTCCCAGTCGGCACATGCCTGGGTTGCAGGCCACAACCCCCAGCAACCACACATTGATGTTTCTCTCTCTCTCTCTTTCTCCCTCCCTTCCCTCTCTAAAAATAAATAAATAAAATCTTAAAAAAAAAGCAATTTTCTTAAAAAATTTTTAGCATAAGAATAATATGAGAAAATAATGTAAAATAGAAGCTATTGTTACATCTAATCAATGAGTATTTTGTGTATGCATTATATCATTGTCCATACTGTATGTTTGTAATTTCCATAATAAAGAGACTAAAACATTAACTTATTTCTTAAAAATGTGTATTCATGTAGCTATACATCATGGAATGCTCTAGTGTACAAAAAACTTAAAAAAAATAGTTTGGTACATTTTTAGCCATTAAATAAATATCCCTAAAATTGAGACCAATGTTTATTTACATCATTAAAACTGAAACCAAAGTCTCAGATGATAAAGCTTGCCTAAAAATATAAATCTTAGATTCCAGCCACTTATCTTTTCTTCTAATCCTCATCCAAGTATATGAAAACTGGTTTCAGAGGAAGGGGAAGGAAGAGAGAGAGACAGAAACAGAGACAGAGACATCAATCAGCTGCCTCCCAAAGCACCTGACCCACTGGAGATCCAATCCACAACCTAGGTGTGTGCACTGACCTGGAATCGAAACCGCAAACTTTTGGTGTACAGGACCAGTCTCCAATCACCTGAGCCACCCAGCCGGGGCTCCAGGCATTTCTCTTTTGATCACAGACAGAACATTTTTGTTTTTCAAAGACTTAGTGTGTTCTAAGTATATGCACTTGATATTTAAATTTCCTGATTGTCTTAAATCTGACAAAAACCCAGAAATGTGTATAAATACTATAAAATATTAATCACTGATAATTATTTTTCTTGTTTGGAGTGACAATGGGAAGCCATTAACCATTTCATTGTTTGAATAAAAAGCTCTGCTTGCATTTCTCCTGAGTGCTGTATGATATTTCTAATAGGGAACTTAACTGTACAAAAAGGAGTTCTTTTAAATTTCATGGAAATATGTATTCACATACATATTCATTAATTGAAATATATTTTGTGTGTATAAAATTATATACATATATATCCAATTTGGTACTGCTTGATACAATAATATAGCAGCCAGAAAACTAGTTTTGAAATTCTCAAGGTAAAACGCAAAACAGTCCAAAGTATCTCAATGAAGAAGGGAGATATTTAACAGTTTCTTATTTAATGTTTCTAAGCATTTAATCTAAAGTCAGGAAAAGAGATGACTATTATAGGAACTGCCATTGTGTGGATATCAAACAGTTGGTATTATTCTTCAGATGCCACAGATGCTATTTGTTCTCTAAATTTTTTTTTCTGAACTATGATAAAATACAGTAACAAATACCAGCTGAACCTCTTGCCAGTGTTAAGGATACTAAAACTAGTAGTTGATACCATTTCAGACAGACTGAAAATCTGGGGGCAAAGAGTTAATGATGCAAACAATGTTAGTAATCAGAATGTCAATGGAGCACAAGAAGAACGTGAGGGAAAGTCTGGAGTGGATGAGTGTGTCTTCTACGTGTTGTAAGATAAGCCATGTAAACAGTTCAGTTAAGCAACATTTATTTTTCTAGTGCCCATACTATCAGGCATTGTATTATGTATGTTACCTTACTTTTCTCATTTAAGGGTGGAGTTACCGGGATGATATACAACAGGGGAATTCCACAGACATAGTGCATCTTTATTTCAGCAGAAGAATTTGACACTTTCTCTCCAGTCTGTGACAGTGATGATGAAATCTGTGATAGGTGTGAGTCTAAGGCACAGTCACAACTGGCCAAATTTAAAGTACTGGTATATTGATAGTGGCTCTAAACAATTGGGTAAGGCTTACCTTAATTTATTCAACCTTCTTACTCAAGTTTGGGACAAAGCCAAAGTGTAATTTGTTGGAAATAGATATAAATAATTGCAATTACATTCTAAAAAATAAACTGTACTTGGCATGATAGCTACTATATAAAAAAACTAGGAGTTTTTAATGCTTACTTTGAATCAAGCTGATGGTAAAATTGCTTTAAAAAGTCATCTGGGGCAGCATTAATGGAAGTATTCTCTCTGATTTTGGGAGATAATAGTCTCACTGGACTCTTAGAAAAACAATCCATGTTCATTTTATAAAATTAGGGTTAGTAAAACCAAAAAGCCCTGCAATCTCACCACTCAGATTACATGTATTCTTAGAGCTCTTGTAGCTGTCTTCCTTTTTGCTTAAATTACCTCCCCAGCAGCAGAAGTATTTATGTCCTGGGGTTCTTAGCGTCTGCTGAGTATTAAAGCTCCCCTAACGGAGATTCCCAGCTTCCAGAAATTGGAATCATGGACCTTCAGAGCCAGAGAGGCAGTTTCATCTGCATCACCTGGACACTCCTTAGAGCTATAAATTGGACTAGACCATGTGAATGAGAATATCTGGGGGTCGGACCTAACAATCTGTGTTTTAACAAGCCCTCCAGATAATTCCAATCCACACTGAAGTTTGAGAACTGACTTGAGTTTAATGCTTTGATTTTTCAGATAAGGTAGCCAAGGTCCATACAAGATATCGCAAATTGGTTTGAGAAAGTACAATGCTGGAATCCTCACACACTGATTCCTAGGATGACGAATCATCTCTTAGGGAGATGTGTTTATTCGGGTAATTGCTAAGCAGTATTTGAAAGAATGCTAGGTGTGAATAGTGTAATGGGAGAAGAGCCTACCGTTTAACTCACCGGAGGGCTTCCTGCAAATCAACGGTAGCCCTTCCATACATTGAACTTTAGTCTAAAACAAAACCTTGCTTGATCTAATATGTTTTATTCACTCGACTATAAGTGTCTTATTCCCTGAGGCACGTTTATGTGCCATATAAGTAATTACTACCCCATTCCATCACTGCTGCTCTCTAATTAATCTCTAGAGTGACCCTGCAGCATTCCTTTTTTGTTTTTTTTAAACAAGCTCATCACACTTAAATTTGAGAATCACTAATATAGAAGATATTTAAAGTGGTTAAGAGTAAATCTGGTTGGATTGGACCAACATTTTCAATGTCTTTTTAATTAGGTTCCACAGTGAAGACTCAAAACGATTTGCTAATATACTTATCATAAAATAAATGCAATAACATCAGAGATCGCTCCAGAAATTTGTAATGGAACAGCATTGAAATGATTTCTTTTTTTTGAGAAAGTATAATATAGTTTTCTCATCATCTGGGAAAAGGGTGGAGGGCAGAGAGTCACTGTAGGAGGAACCAGAGATCACAAAAGCAAGAACAAGAGTTGAAATAGTGGATCCTGTTCTAAACTACAAATGTAGCCAACTTTAACTATCACCGTACAGAAAAGGTCACAGACTGTATCTCAGCGGTTGTCAGGGATTTTAGTTTTTAGAGATTACATTGTGTGGAACAGTCAGATTTAGGAAAAAGATACATTTGGGGAGTAAGAACGGAACTTCAAGATCAAAATGCTCTACCTTGAATTTTTGTAGCATTTAACATTTTTGAAGGTGCCTTCACATAAACTTTTATTTTCTCCATGTACCAGCCCTGTAAGGAAGGAAACTAGTACCAGCAAAACCGTTTCAGAAACTTTACTGAATCACGAAGAAAAGATAGCGAAGACGATACAACCAGAGAAGTGATAGAAGAGGTGGCCAGTGAGGAAGTGGGGCAGACACAAAAAGCTGAAGTCCAGGGAACCGGCAAAATAGCTTTAACGGGCAAGTAAATGCAAAAAAAAAAAAAAAAAAAAGCCAGGGTGCAGGAAATTTGGGATCAGGAAACTGGAATGTACTTATGTGTCCCAAAGAGGATGGATGAGGTCAAAGATGAAGAGAAAAATGAAAAGCAATGCGGGACTTAAAGCTGCATGGAAGTTTCGTGGGCTGACAAGTCCCTCAGGCCAATGCCCACAGCAAGGCCTCGGACCCCATGCTGAGCAACTCGCGGCGGGGGCTTTGCGGAGGGCGGCGGCGGCGGCGGGGGCGTCGCGGAGGGCGCCGGCGGGAAGACTCCTGGGCCGAGGGGAGCGTTCAGTGCGGACTAACAAAGGCCGCCGGGGGATTTCCCACAACGCGCAGCCGGCGGGGGGCGAAGGGTTAACAGCGCGCCCGACTCCCGCGCGCATCCCGGCCCCCACTCCGGTCGTCGCTAGGAGACGCCGGAAGTGGGGGAGGGGTGGGCGCGGGGCGGAGGGTGGGAATCTTTTTCAGCGCTCTGGGAGGAGGGAGGGAGAGGAGCGCGCGTGCGCGCGCCTGGCCAGCTGTCGCCGCGGTGACTGTCCTCGGAGTCCATCGGCTCGCGCCCCGCCCCCGTCCCTGCTGACCCCTCCCCTGTCGCGCGCGGGGGTGTTTCTCGCTCCTCCCGAGTTGCGGCCGCCGTGGCCGCTGCTCCTCCTCTCCCAAGCTTGGGTTTCCCTAGCGCTGCGGCCGCCGCTGCCTCTGCGGTCTGTATGAGGAGGAGGAGGAGGAGGATGTGAAGATGGCGGAGCTGCAGATGCTGCTCGAGGAGGAAATCCCGGGGGGGCGCCGGGCTCTCTTCGACAGCTACACGAATCTGGAACGGGTGGCGGATTACTGCGAGAACAATTACATCCAGGTGAGACGCGTCTTCTGGCCCGGGCGCGCAGGGCTTCAGGGTTGTGAGCGGCGCGTGGGACCCCCAACCGCGGGCTGGGGGGCGCGGGGTGCACGGGCTGAGGCCCGGGCGGGGACCGGCCCTGCGGCGCTCGCGATTGGGGGTGGGGCGGGGTGGGAGTTGGGGCTGGTGAGTGGATGAGAATTCTCCGGGTGGAGGAAATCGGAGGTTTAAAACATTTTTAAAAGCCGTGAATTAGGCGGTGTGTGGTGTCCCCACCTCTTCTCCTGCCCTTGGTCGCCCCCGCTCCCGGTGCCCGTCAATGTTCTGGATGGCGGGGGAGGCGGAGAGTGGCGTTTTGTATTTGACAGAATCTTGCTCCCCCTATGTGGCAGGGGTGTCGGGGAAGCATGGGTCATCCCCTTCCCCCAAGCTCTGGAGGATTTTTTTAGGTATTGCTGCAAAGTGAAGTGTCTCAGTTTCAATTCATGTGAATGCCTCGGGAGACTGTTGTTTGAGTGTGTGGGGGTTTTTGTTTTTTTGGCTTGTGTTTTAGATTCTAACTGGGGATACATACAATAGAAGAGCAGTTGTCTCTTTTTGGAAGTTACTGCTGTTTTCCTCTGTATGGAGAACGAAAAGCTGCATGATAATAAGCTTTCCCGTCTCCCAACCCGTTAGAATAAATGATTTATTTTCCTGTGGGAAAAACAATTGTGACTATTTTTCAGAGAACATTAGGAAATGATCCTCATGGTTTAATTTTTCCCGTGATGGTTGGTTTGGCACAGGGACTCAGAGTGGTAGTGCTGTGTATATGTGTATGGAGGCGGGGGATATTGGATGAGGTGAGATTCAGCTGCGCCTGGGTGAAGCGAAAGATTCTGTGGGTTAAAAAATTTTTCTTTAGAAAATTACTTGAAAGAATATGTTAAAACGTACAGTTTGCAAATTCAGCATCTTTTGTTTTCTTATGGCTGTTTCCGAATCACAGGTCCTACCTCCATTTTTTCCCTTCCCATTTGAATTCTCTTGGGATAAAGGTGGAAATGGAAGTATGTTAAATTGTTCCTACACTATGGTCTTTTTTTCTCCTGCTCCCATATCCATCTCTTCAGGCACCCTTCTTAACATCAGGTATTGGGGATCGTTCTCCAGTCTTAGTTTAAACTTAAAAAAGGGAGGTGTTAAAATGTATCGGTTCATAAATTTTGTAAGGAGCAGATGGTTAATCAAGGATAGTATTGTGATATTTTACTTGGTTAGCTATATACTGAACTCTTTATTATCTTGTAGGGAATATTTGTAATGGAAAATGAACCAGATATAATCCAAGGCTTTTCTCTCCAAAGAGGCAGTTGAAAGTATTTGGCTAGTAGGAAAAGAAAGACTGTGTCTTGGGTCAAAGATTTTGTGCAAAAATAGCTGTCCATATTTATAGGGTGCCTTTCTCTTTCTAAAAAATTATTTATCGATTGATTGATTTTAGAGACAGGAAGGGAGGGAGCAAAGGAGAGAGGGAAAAGAAGGGAAGAAGGATGGAAAGAGAAATATCGATTTGTTGTCCCACTTATTTATGTATTCATTGGTTGATTCTTGTATTTGCTGTGACGGATCCTGCAACCTTGGAGTAGGGGACGCGGCTCCAGCCAACTGAGCACCCGATCAGGGCTGTAGGGTGCTTTTCTGACAATGAGTGGGATAGGAGAGATTGAAAGGTTCACTTGCTCAATTTTCCATTAAATAAATTCAAAAGTCTTTATGGCCTGTGGCCTCATACTGTGTCAAGGTTTGATGATACCCATCTAGTGTCCAGAATTTCACAGTGCAGTTACTAGAAGCTGCTCTGTGAGCAAATGATAACATATACTGTGTCAATTTATACTGTGTAATGGACTTCAGGTGGGAGGGCTGGAAGAAGCTGTGCTGTCTCAGGGAGTTCACCTTCTCTAGGTGCTAAAGGACTGAAGTAGTAATTTTATTTTAAAGGCAACTAAAGGACCGAAGTAGTAATTTTATTGCTTTGTGCAGCGTATTACTAGTGAAAAGAGTTAAAGGTCAGAAGAGAAATTGAGGGTGAACAAATGATTGTGTTGCACTTACTACCAATGAGTGAAGAAAACAGATCTGTCTCTCTTTGGAATTTTTATTGTAATTTCAAGGTATAGTACTCCTTAGATTATAATTGTTACATAAAGGTGAAAGTACAGGCTGAGAGGTTAAAGGGATCAGTGATTGTCTTTTTATGTTTACACACTGTCTTAGCAGTGGGACTCAATTTAGTGGTGGCATTTTGAAATTCAAAGAATAAATATTGATTAATAGAAATGGATTTGGATTTTGAAATATTTCTTCAGTTTAGCATCTAAAAGAGATTGTATTTTTTTTTTTTACCTTAGATTATCATCAGTTTGAGGATCCACTGGGTGTATTTTTGGTGTTCTCTTTCCAGGTGACAGCTCTTACATGATTTGTCTGTAGTAAAGTTGATAATTAGACCGTGGTGATAGTGATTTGTGCTGACCTAGCTGCACAGTCGGCAGGCTCTCTTTGCAATCTAAAGAATTGACCAGCAGGGGTTTTGATACTGCCTCTGGCCCTGCAATAGAGGAAAGTTAATTGGTGGGATCAGTGACCAAAAGGTCAATTTAGTCTTATTATAGCATCATGCCCTAAACACTAGCTCAAGCTAACTAACCTGACACTCAATTTTGTTGTGTGGAAATGTAATTTTTGCTTGTCAAGCAGAAAAAGGACAGATCTGTTGATCATATGTAATAAAAAGTAAGGTATTTTTCCCTCTGGTTTTTTTTTAAGATTTTATTTATTTTTAGAGAGGGGAAGGGAGGGAGGGAGAAAGAGGGAGAGGAACATCAGTGTGTGGTTGCCTCTCACGCGACCCCTACTGGGGACCTGGCCCACAACCCAGGCATGTGCCCTGACTGGGAATCCAACCCATGACCCGTTGGTTTGCAGGCTGGTACTCAATCCACTGAGCCACACCAGCCAGGGCCTCAGTGTTCTTAAATAGCTGATTTTATGCATAGGAATATCCAAAAATTTAAGATAAATAGGAATATTCTAAATGTGAATTCTAACGTGAAATTGACAAAGGATGGAAAATGATTGTGTTGTCCTGAAAACAGTTGCACTCTTTAAATTGTTTCTGTGTTATAAAAATATCCTTCAGCTATATTATCAGCATTAGAAGTGATCAGATATTGTCTGTATGAACACCAACAAGATCTACAGGTAGAGCAGAGCAGGGTTGTAAGTAGTAGTTGTCTATGTTACTAATGCAGTGAAACAGAAATTTAAAAATAATCTGTAGTAAAAGTTTAGATGATTTTTGTTTTACTACTTCAACCTCTAGAAAACTTTTCTGAAATGTGATGATAGAAAGTTATAATTGCAGTTTGCTGATATTTACGATTGTTCATTATTTAGAATTGGAACAAAATTATTCAATAAAATGAATTTGCTCAGAAGAACAGAAATTATGAATTTATCTTAATATTTTATTTGAATTACTTCTCTTGCTTTTTAATAACAGGAGAGCTATTGTTAAAAGCTCTCCTTTTTTCTTTTTATCAACAAGGATACTCCACAGTTAATTAAAAATTGCATGAAATATTTATAAAGAGATAATAGAATTATGTCTTTTACCCAGATAATTTCATAAAAAATAAGTACTAAAAGATACAGATATTTAAAATTCTTATTTAATAAAAGCTATAGAATACATACTTATTGAAAAATTATTAGAAAGTACAAATTGTCTAATCATTTTGAACATATATCTAGTATTTATACTTTTAAATCTTTTTGATATAACATACAGTATATCATATTTTCTTAAAAATAGGTTCATATTTTGTAGTACCTCTATACCATTCTTTAAAAAGAAGCTTTTAATGGTACTAGACTTGCCTTTGTCTTTTATGGGTGTCATAGAATATATAGAAAGGAGGTTTGTGTTGGTGTGTTTGAGTTCTGTCTGTTCTCACAAGTAGAAGAATCTTATAAGCACCTAGAATGACAAAGGAGAGAAATAATGTCCATTATTTGAGAGTAGAACCTTAAGGTCCTTCCCTGTGATTTTTGTCTTTTACTTCCACAGACAGGAGTAAACCACGTATGTGGACTGAATTAGGGAAACTCGATTTCGGTAGATTGAGGTGATTTAATTTACCAGGATTTGATCAAGGTTTATCATCCCTGACAAAACTAGTCCTGACTTCCCAGCAGAGACATTTGGTGTTTGGATTTTCAGTGAAAAAAGACAAACTAGCCAATATCAAGAAATTTGACAGGATTGGAAAATATATTAAATTACATTCTGAGCCTATTGTTTTTATAATTAAAAATCTTAAATTTAATTTTAAAAATAATTTTTGTCCCTGGCTGGTGTGGCTCAGTGGATTGAGTGCCAGCCTGTGAACCAGAGGGTTGCCAGTTCGATCCAGTCTAGGGCACATGCTTGGGTTGCAGGCCAGGACTCCAGTAAGGGGCATGTGAGAGGCAACTGCACACTGATGTTTCTCTCCCTCTCTTTCTCCTTCCCTTCCCCTGTCTAAAAATAATGAAGTAAATAAATAAAATCTTTAAAATATAAAAATAATTTCTGTAGTTTTGTCATTGTGCACTTTCTACACCTTCTCCAAGGTACTTAATTGACCTCTTAATTCCCTTTATTGATCCAGGGACTTCAGCTGCACTTCATTTTTTGCCCTACTTTGAAACACTTGTTTGGAAATTGCCCTTTAGTCAAACAGGTCATAAACTCTTTCTTTTCTCTGTCTTCTTACCTTGGTATGATTAATGTATGAATGTGTGATAGGTTTCCTTTATTCAGGGTGGCCTGTTTTCTCCCAAAGAATGGTTTATAACCGAATTGGTTTTCTCATGTGTAGGGTATATATTTCAGACATTTTAAAGAATGAGATTCTTTGGTGTTATTTTCCTTTTAGAACTCAAGGAATTTTAATAGCATTTGGTGGAAGTAAATATAAGTATAATCT